TTTTTTTTTTTTGAAGATAAAAATTGAAAATTAAAGATATGCAAACCTGATTTAGGATCTGATGCTTTGATACCAAGATGATGAGAACCCCAAAGAGAACAATGAGACCCATAGTATGACAAGGGATTTCTAAACTCCAAGAAAGCTAAATCAGGTTTATAATAGGACCTTGACCCGTTGTTTATGTCGCAACAAGAACTAAGGTACAAATTTTGACCCTTTGTCTATGGTTCAACAAGAACCAGAGGTATAAAGTTGGTTGATGCCACACCCTCGAATGATTAGGAACAAGAATGATAAGTTAGGTTAGAACGCCACAAGAATAATCTTGATAAGTTCTATAAAGTTCTGAAACGAACCAAAGAGAAAAGTCTCTAAAAATCTCAGATTCAAAATAGCTCCCCCTAATTAGGGTTACAAGCTTTTAAATAGGGAAAAGTAATTCTAACCAGAATAAGAAACTAACACCCTAAGCCCTAATCTTAATAACCACCAATTGGGCCTCAAATAAATGAATGTTCAGCCCAAAATAATACAAAAAACGTGAAAATCACTGAAAGTAACCTAAAGTAACATGAAATATTAGTTTGTTACAAGTTGTGACAAAATTACGAGATTTTGACGCAAATTGTGTAATTTAGCATAAACGACCTCAATTAAGCTTCTCTTAAATTTGAATGATGTTTACCATGCCTTGATAATCATCCAATCTTCGATTTACTTGTTGCATGTTGTTATCAACCCAGATCTGCTCAATAAGGCCATTTAAAGCTTCTTGCATCTTCCTAGCTCTAGCTCTCGTGACTGGACCTCCTGGAATGTGTAATGAATCTCTTGACGTGGTACATGTGGGGTTATCTTGATTCCCATCAACACTTCAAAAAATGACAGTAAATTCAACATACTTTCTCCCCCTTTTTGTCATCCATCAAAAAGTATATAAACATAATCAATAAACTCCCCCTTAATTCATGCATATCAAAAATAGTTAATTTGAGCATAATATCCACAAATTGCTCCCCCTCAATGAAAGCACTTAAGATCATAATCATCAAAATCATAGGCAACTATACAGTCATATACAATTAAAATCCACAATTCATGATAACAAGCTAAGAAATGTGCATAGATAATGAGGGCAAAATTTGGGAAAGAATCAAATCTTGAATGTGAGGAGAGAAAAAAGGGTCAAATATTAAAAATCTATCACGATCAAAAGGCTTTGTAGTAAACAAAGATATCTTATTCCAAGTAACTATGAAGGTCAAAAGATTCTTTCTCTCCTTTTTGTAATCCAACAAAAAAGTTTGAAGAACATATGAAGAGCAAACAAAAGAGCTTCACCTTAATAAAATAACTCATGAAAGCATGAACATACTTATATAGCAATCTCATGAAAATCATACCAAGAATGTATAACCTTCTATCATTTAAGTTATAAAGATCAATAAAAGATACATGAAAAGCACAAAAGTTATATGCACTCAAGGTATAGCAATATATACATCTATCATCTTATAAAGAGTTTGAAATTAATAGGTTTACCTCCATTATTGTTAAAGCAATTGAATACCTTAATGGAGAGACCATTGCTTATGCATCTCCTTTGTATGTTCCCTTTGATTGGAGAAGATCTCATCTTTGGGATAATTTCATTTGAAATTCCAATACATTTAATCATCTCAAGTTTACTTAACATTGCTTTGGAAAATTCTTTACAACAAAACTCATTAGTAGCACCAAAAACAATGTTAATTCCATCATTATATACAACATGTATATTTCTTACCCTGGAGATGTATCATTTATCACATTACCTTTATAGGATCTCTTTCTTGGATAGAATTATGATCTTTGTTTTTGTGCTTGTTGCATCTCCTCGATCTTGTTCTTCTCACTTGCTTCACATGGAGGTTGTGTGATGCTATTGCCTTCAATGTTCATTTTTAACTTTGTTACCCAATAACATCTACATCACAATTTCACAACTCTTTCTAAAGCAAATGGGGTTCATCTCATTGAATACCACATGAATAGATTCAACACTATTACTCTTTTTTATATGCATCATATCATATGATAATAAATATAAAAAATCTTATTCATTGAAATCAGCCATGACTATGCAAGCCTTCAAGTGCATGACATATATTTGCACATAATCAAATATCATCAAAATTATCCATCATAAAGAAAACATACAAATCCTTCCAAGTGTAGGATTCTTCTTAAGATCAAGTTTAACTTTCAAGTGCTACCATCAAACTCATGAAAACAATGAGACAAGTAAATTAGAATGTGATAAACCATGTAAAGTAAAACAAGTTATTAAAATACTCATCTAAATCAAATCATCAACCATCTTCAAAATGACACATATGACATGAAAAATTACTTATACCATGAAGAGCTCATTATGAACTAGATATGATAAATAATCAATCTAATCATTCACATATGTCAAGTATGTAAATATGATACAAGTAATATTTATAGCAATCAACAAGGTTGTATCAACACTAGAAAAGACACATATGGAATCATACTCAACAAGCATATGTATTATTTAAAGAGTGAGCACACATGAACTAATAATTAATGGTCATGCTAATGTAATTATACTCAATGAATAAATGCTATAAGATAAATAAAACCAATTTAAGCACATGAGCGGAGTATTCAAAAACAAATTTTTCTTTACACTTTCATTCCAACATTCTTGTTGAGGCATAAGTTTTTATCAAGGTCAACTTTGCTTTTCTTATGACTTTGCCATCAACTTTACCTACAAAACTAAATTAAGTTTTGATCTTTGGTACCCAAATTTGCTTGGGTCGTTTGGGAGTTAGTACTTAAGGTTCCTTTTGGAACCCAAATTTGCTTCACTTTGCCTTAAGCTATCAATCTCTTCAAAGGACACATATAAGCAAAGTGTCCCTTTGCACCACAACAGAAGCAAGTAACTTTAGAATTAGAAGATTGACTTGCTCTTACAAAGAAATTATTGAAAGTTCTTTGCTCTTTAGAATACTCAAATCCTATGCCCCTTTCATTATAAACACTTCTTTGAGAATTCAAAATAGAATCAAATTTTTCTTTACTTAGGGTAAATTTGGAAATCACATTCTCAAGATCACAAACTTTCTTTGTCATGTTCTCATTTTCCTTTTTCAAAGCACTACTAGATTCTTCATTCTTTAAAAAAGCAATCTCAACATTTAAGGAAGCATTCTCTTTAACTAAAACCTCATTTTGTTTTGAAAGAGATTTAAGCTCATCTTTAAGTAAAGAGATGGATTTAGTAAGTGCTAGATTCTCATTCCCTAGTTTCTTAATATCATTCATAAAGCAATCAAGAACTTTGCATAAATCATCATAACTCAAATGAACTTTCATTAATTGAACTAGAACAGTTAGAGTTCACCTTCTCATCATTGTTGTTATCCTCTTGAGCCATGAAACAAAGATTTGCAACACCTTTCTCCAAGAAGCTTTCACTTTCCATTGAGCTAGTCTCATCATCACTGTTTTTCTTTTGGTTGTAGCCTTGAATGCAACATCCTTCTTCTTCTTCTCAACTACTTCAACTCCACCATCAACTTGAACTTCTATTTCATATGTCATCAATTTTCCAATGAGATCTTCAAGCTCAAAAGTGTTGAGATCCTTAAACTCTTCAATTGTGGTCTTCTTGGCTTCCCAATTATTGGGCAAGCTTCTAAGAACCTTCCTCACCACTTCTTGAGGAGGATACACTTCACCAAGACCCTTGAGATTGGTGACTATATCATTCAATCTTGCATACATATCTTGAATGCTCTCCTTTGGTTTCATCTTGAAAACCTCATATATGTGAGTGTATCTATTGATTTTTTACTCCTTCACTTGACTTGTTCCTTCATGTATTACTTCCAACATGTCCCACATCTCCTTGGCCGTATCACATCTGGATACTCCATGGAATTTCGTTGGATTGTGTCACACCCCAAAACCCAATTTCGAGACGCAACAGACGCCGTGCACTCGTGAGAGGGTCCCACAAATGCACAAGGCTCGGAACTTATCACACTAAACTCTGATACCACCAAAATCTGAAGATCAAATATTAAAAATTCTCTCTAATATCATAAAATCTCCAAGTACACTCTAGCTTACAAGATCATGATTTCTAGAATCTCTATCAATCTCGAAATGGCTAGCTTTCTAACTCGTCACTTCCCGTGGTTTCCCCGTCCTCGGTTTCACTTCCTGAAATGGTGGACAAGGAAAAACTATGAGATAAACTCAGTAAGTAAATATGGATTGCCCTTAATTAAACTTATAGCATGCCAACATGTGCAATCACGAAAAACGGACACAGTACGGGCACGAAATAGACGTCTCCTCTATAGGTCACGGCAAGCGTTTATAAACCTCCCACTGGCGGGCACACGAGTAACATGACCACATCGAAGACAAAACAGGCAGAAGTTAACAGGAAAATCACAATTCACAATCACTTTCAAATCATCAGGACAATCACTTAAATTTCAAGTAGGCATGCTCAATTTAGTGAAAAGCATAAAACATTTCACTTCAAATCAGTCATACTTG